TGGATGAGGGAAAGTGTGTTGACCAGGAGTGGCACCCTTCATCCGACCCCAGCTCAGCCCCGGTACACTCGGTGCGTGACGGCTCGTTACCTTTGCAGAAGATAGGTCAGCTCCGGTACAGAGGTCCATTTCAATGCTACCTTTCAGCGTCTCCGGTCAGGGTGGCTGAGAATCGTCCGAAGTAGTGACGGTACTCCGTTCAACAGAATAAGCTTCCTTAGAAGTGGTAGGGCGTTACGCCCGGGTGAGTTCACAGCGAGGCGCTGTGACTACAGCTGGGATGGACGGACCCTCGTCTCACGGTCAAATCCATCAGCTATTGATTAAATCTGAAAGTTCCTTAGGAACTTCAGTCAGAGAATCCATTCAGAAGTGGAAGACTCCATGAAAGACTGAAGAAGAACCCAGTAAGACTCCGGTCAAAGACTCAAGAAGACTGAAGACTGAGAAGTTCCAGGAAGTGTGGACTCTTAAAGAGTTTTCACTTCCGGTCACTTCAGGACTTTCTGATTGGTTGAAACAACCAACAGGGGGTGGTTCTAGTGATGTCAGAGGGTCATTACAAGTCAAGAAAACAGCAGGAATGTTTTAGGGACTTTTAGTACAGACAGGAGAAATGTTATGACGATGTGAGAGCAAGCAGGTGCCAGTAGCTTCTTATTTACCGTCTGCTAGGTTTAAAAACAATCTACTTCGTTCTAATAACTCCTTTCTGACTTTCGACCAACATCACTACTTCTCATTTCAGACAGAAGATCAAAAATGCATAATTACTTTGTAAATAGACATTTAACTTGATTTCTAACTTAAATGAGGATTAAAAAAATCATTAATACTGTTTCACAGTTGATTTAAAATGAGTGGTTCACTTCAACATTTAGAAATGGTATGAACTAAACACAATTTTGATTTACCAAGATATTGTAAAATAGTAATGATAATATAAAAGAAGAGTGTTCTTTCAATTGATTACTTCAGGATACAATTAGACAGACTCTGGATGAGCTAATTTGTATTTTTGGATTCAAATCAATGAAATAACAGTTCCTGTCCCATGAAGGTCCTCAGAGGCAGGTTTTGGTCAGAGGCCGAGTTCACTACAAAATGTTTCTACATTTTTTTTTGTTTGTTTTGCTTTGTTTTGTTTTTTGAATGTCCAGAGGACCAGATTCAACTTTTTTAGATTTTTCTACCAGGATTATTGAGCATGCATCAGGATATGACCTCACAGTAATTACACAG